TGTGCAAATCGTTTGTTTAGCACGAATATAATAATTTTCAATTGACTTGTTAGCACTAAGAATTATTGAATATCGTTGTGCAGCATGAATTGGAATTGTATTTAGAGTGACTGGAGGTTTTATTAAATGACCATCAACTTCAATGATAGTAAGCGGATGTTCATCAATTGAAAATATAAAATGAGTTGCCGCACTTATACTTATGATTCTAAATCTATATTTTTTACCCTTTTTAACTGTATAAGTGGCGACTCCATTGTTCGGATTACATGAGTCTCTAGAGGCAGTGGAACAATTAAATTGTCCTATGCCACTAATTTCTCCAGAATTTGGAATAGGATCATTTCCTTTGTAATTCGGAGAAAGAAGGATTGGATGAATGTCAACGGATGGCATATGATACCAATCTGATAGCGTTAACACGTATTCGAAATCGTAATCTTTAAGATAAGGGTCTTTAGGATTGTGAATTATTAATGGGCCTTTAAGGCCATCGGCAAGTTGACCAGCGAAGTGCGAATGGTACCAAAAAGTGCCTTGATAAAATATTAAGTATTAAAATAGTTTTTTTTGGGCAATACGCACGTATATATATATATGTATATTAAAAAAATACCATATTGGTTAACGGTAAAATTGTAAAGAAAATTTTGATGACTGGGGATCGGACATTGCGTTACACCTGGAACACCATCATAAAAGTTTGTGCCTGTTTGAAATATACCATGCCAATGAACTTAAAGAAATAAGAAAAATATTAGGATCAAAATTATTATTTGAATTTTGAAACAACCAACGAATTTAATTTACTTGTAGAAGGTTCCCCCAATTTGTTAGTTACATTAATGAGAAGTCTGTCACCATAGTTTGCTTGAATTATCGGGGCAGGATATTGCTTATTAACAGTCCACCTAAATTTCACGAGAATAAATCAATAAGAAATGAGATAAATTAAAAATTTATTTTAGGCTTAATAAAATTTATGGATCTTACACAGGACGCTTAACTCCGTCAGGTGCTAACTCTTTTATCACAAGTTCTAAATTGTAACAACGAGTCACCGGGCCGTTACTTGGTGGTAAAGGTTTAAGAATTTTAAACATGTCTGAAGAAATATTGGTGCATTTTAAATCAATTGAATCACTTAAAAGACTAAATAACACGAGAAAAATGATTACTAAATTAATTTTCATTTTTATTTTAAATACGACGAATTCAGCTTATGAAATAAAGGATGTGAATTTTCAAATTCTCACTTTTTATAACTTTCGATTATAAAAAAATTCTACCTAGTGAATAAATTTTAACCGCGCCATTCCTTCATAGAAGAATTCGAAAATAGTTGGTACGGTAAACATGTACATGCGTACTTATCTCCTTATCGGCATAGTGATGATTGACATAATCACCCCAAATTTTTTACTTAACTACTACTGTACATATTGCAGCTGTTTTCGATTTAGTTGGATCGACGATCTCATAATTTTGAGCCCGTGAGTGAATACCATATAGATAGCCACTTTATATTTGCCGTATTTTGTGAAAATTATTTATCAATAAAAGGGTAATATATGAATTCTAAATGAGTCCTGCGAAATATGACGAAATTTAAGTGTTCACAGGACTCACGGGGGTAGAGTTCCAATCCATTAAGAATTTATTCGAATAATTAGATACGGATAAACGGATGATTTTCCTGATTGGAACTCTAGCTGGGGAAAAAAACTATGCAAATTGTCGATCCAACTAGCTATAAAATTAAAGCGAGTAAAATTTAATCCTTACAGTAAAATTATACAAAATATAATTTCGATATCGTATTTTATTTCTACATTTGAAAAATTTTCCAGTCATTTAGGAATGCGAGAAGGTCACTTGTTCTTGCCTTGATGTATTTCGAATCCGAATATTCATTTCCCTAAATCAGGCTAAGTGAAATAATCAGTCATAGGCGATCAGTAATTATTATTTTTTTCACAACAAAATATGTAAAATGGAGGGTTTAAATGAAATAATTGTCTGAGAAATCATTCAATATCGATATTGCAGCAAACATTTGAATCTGCGAAGGTGAAGTGACGAATCAGGGATCAATGGAAATGGATGATTCTTTGGTTATTGTTGGCCACTGCTTACAGTATTCCCAAAAATAATACCCCAATGATTAAGATTCGGATATTACTCACCATTTTTACCAACTGTTTCTTGAATAAGATCAGGGAATATAACTATGTATATTGATTTACTAATTTTAATATAATACATTCCCCAAATACAATACCTGTTCTTCACACATTACCCACCTAATTTGATTATAATTCAACTTTATAATTTAATATATGCGAAAAACTTATTTATTAATTTATTGTATTGATATTAATGAGATTCTAGTTATCAATTTTTGAGTTACCTTTGTAAAAGTCTAAGATTAACTACTATCAGATTTTTACTATATTTGAACGCTTTGAATTCATTCTTTTTAACACCGATTTCTTATTTATATTAATGACCAAACAATAAACTATGTTATAGATCTGCAGCTTGAAACAATGTGTGTTCCAAAAGTGCATTTATGTCAATCGTAAGTGCTTTCGCATTAGCAAAAATTTAGAATAATTTGGACAATATTGGGAATTTTAGAGTATCCAAATTTTATTTTAGGATAATCCGAAAAATATACATACGTACAGTACGTACGTTACTAAATTGACCACGTGATATTGGTTATGTAATGTGATTGGTAATTGGAGGATCATCAAAATGAAGCTTTCTGATTGGCTGGTGTTGCCTGCACTTTAATATAAGAGATGTTAGATATTATTAAGTGAAAACATTTCAAAAACTAGAATCTCATAGATACTAACTTTAAGTTAGGCTAGCTAATTTTAAGTTGAGCAGACTTTGGTCGTTGGGAAAACGATCGTTGGGGCGAGTGTCAGGGCATCAAGGTACAGAATATATAGTACAATAAAATAGCCACGAGATGATGTCACACAAAACAAGGGACGGAAATTATGAATAATGACATGCATCATCTATTTACTCTATTAAAATTTTATCTGTTTGTAGTTCAGCAAATTTTACCAAATAAATTAGGTAATATCATGCAAAACCAGGGATGGAAGGCATATTCTCAGCAGTTCAGCAGCTTTTTTAGTTGGATAAATTTTGCAAGCCCCATGTATGCATATATCCTGCGTATAATAATTATTGTAATTGTTAGCTGCTCATTGTATTATTATAATAAACATCTAACAATTACAAATAATTATTATATGCAGGATATATACCGTATAGTCGCAGGGGTGTAATTTCGAATTTCGGCCCAAACTAAGCTTAATTCGGGCCGAAATTCGAAATAACGCCCCCTGCGCGTTATTTCGCGGCTATACGGTACATAAGAGCAGAGGTCTTTTTCGATTTTTAACAGCTGCCCTACCTTGTTTGGTGCGTCGAAAGTGCGTCGGGAGTACGTCAAGTATAACACGGGTTTGCATAAGGAGGGCATCTTCCTGCGTATCAAATACAAAGTAAAGTTTCCATTAATATAATATAATTGGAAATTTACTTTGTATTCGATATACGCGGGAAGATGCTCTCCTTATACAAACCCGGGTTATACTTGACGTACCCCCGACGCACTTTCGACGCATCAAACAAGGTAGGGAAGCTGTTAAAAATCGAAAAAGACCTCTGCTAAATCTGCGGGTT